ACAACAATCTAAATTATCAATGGCTCACAGTTAAAATAAAAATCAAAGTTTAGAAAAAAGATTTGACATATAATTGCACAGTTTAATATTTATTGAAATCCACACTCCTCGAGCTCGATTCCTTTCTGCAACCATAAAGCTGATAGTAAATAAAACTTCTCGCTTAAAAAACAAAAAACATAAAACAAATCAGTAATAATCACAATATTACATAAAAAGATTTTTTAATTAGAATTGAAAAAGAATTAAGTATATCAACAATCTAAATTATCAATGGCTCACAGTTAAAATAAAAATCAAAGTTTAGAAAAAAGATTTGACATATAATTGCACAGTTTATATTTATTGAAATCCAATATCTGACCTGTAAAAAAGAGAGAAATATCTCTTAAATTATACTTATCTACAGTTCATAAAAATGAACTAATACTGTAATACCTAATCCTCAATGTACAAATAATATAACTGATTTCTGGATTTATTTTCAAAGAAATTATTTTAAGAAGATATATCTGCAAAGTTAATTGCCTATAGATATGCATCAGTGTAAGCAAAAGTTGACATCACATCAAAAAACATCATGATGATGGCACACACATGCAAAAAATATTTAATTTGGCACTAATTAATAAAAATCACAATATTTACATAAATTGAGTATTCATTGAAAGGTAAAAATGATAAATGATTTTAACAAATCAGATATGAAAGCATAATTACATTGAAATTGTGTTAAGTCTCCACTTAATATACACCAAGTCCTACACTATTTCTTCTTGCACCCTTTTAACTTAATCTTATCCTCAATGTATTAACTTAGAATGTGTGAACTACTTTCTAATTTTCAATATTGTGTGCACATGAAATGATACATTTTACACATCAAATCATACACTATTTCTACACCTGTACTTCACAAAGATATCTGAACAACTTTCTAATTTTCCATATTTGAATATATTTACCCATCAAATCCTAGTCTATTTCTTCTCCTGTACCTTTCTAACTCAATCCCATCCTCAATGTAATAACTCAGAAAATCTGAATTATTTTGGACATGCAATTTACGATATTTGCGATAACATGAAATGATACATACAGAGATGATACATAGAAAGACGATACATGAAGATGCTGAAAGAGAAAAGAATAGTGGTATAAAAGTGCAATGCAAAGCTAAAGCAATAGAGATACATTCATTATTGCACTGTGAAATAAAGCAAATAAAAACTGTATTACAGACTTTTACAGCATTGTGCATACACTATATACATGCATACAGTTAATCAATAGTGGCATGCCAGGGGTGAACAAATATGCAGTGGCAAAAGTGTCTCAGTAGACATATTCATCAAAGCCATATAGAACTGGTTTCTTTCTCTCCCTTGGTGGCAATACTTTTCTAGTAATAATTTCTTTAGTATGTTTTGCTTTTCTTTTTCTTTGACATTTTTTCTTCATAATAAATCCTGATAATTTTTTCACAGATTTTTTGATAAACAAAGTTGCTTCTTGCAGGAGATTGTATATGTCTATAACTTTTCTTTTAATGGCTACTATCTGTTTACACAGAAATGTAAGTATTCCAATTAAGCCTAGAAAATTAAGAGGAAAAAAAATTTCAAAGAATAGAATCTTCTTGCAAGATTTCTTCTTCAGTGGCGTCATAAAATATATCATGATCAGTATTTATATTCCCCCTTAATCTTGATTTTTGGCATTTCCAAAGGAGAAAGATGAAACAGCTTATGCAGGAAGATGCGGACAAGCAAGTAGAAATAACTAAAAGAAAAACATTCATTTTTCAAGCAATTCAAATTTTAAAATTGAGATCCAAAATTGCAGAAATGATAAAGCACTATTATATGAGCATCTATTACTCATGCATCAACCATAGATAGTATTTATTGATGTATGGATTTTAATTTCATAAAATTAAGCAAAAATGAAAGTGTTTCGTTGAAGATCACTAAATAATAAATTTAAGCTTCAGTGAAATAAAGAATTATAATTCTATAGTAGATGATTTTTAAATTCTCCACCGCAATTGATTCTCAGTGTTTGACACTTGACAGCGGATTCAAATATTTGTTTTATTGCATTTAATATGTCTATTGCTGTCTTTTGCTTCAATGCTACAATCAAAGAATGTGAGTTACTTTTGAATTGCTCATGCAGATATTGTCATTGTAGTTAGATTTTCAAATATTATTCAGAATCCGTAATTTTGAAGGATTAGTAAAAGATTGAAGAGTTTCACAATAATTCACATTGTTATCTAGGTGTATTTAGAAAGATGCATATAGATTTATAAATAAATATACTTACTGATTAAGATAGTACTTAAACTCAAGTTACTGTTGCTGTCATCATCCGCTGATGGTGGAGTTGTTAATTCAGGATTCTACAATGAAAGTGAAATATTGAAACAAATATAAGTATTCATTGAAAAATTTTTTGTCAAAATTTATGCATGCTATAAACAATGCATTGACTGTCAAATGCAAATTACTACTTTGTGATAATTAGTTTATCACTTACAAGAACTGGTGTAGGGGATGCATCGGTTGTGGAGGATCTACCACCCTCCTGAAACAAATGTACATATTTTTAAAGCGATGAAGCTGAGTCCTCTTGATACTTGACTTTCTCATTTTAATCAGGTTGTAAACAATGCATTGAATAGCATATCTAAAATATTATTTTCAGATAGTAAGAATGGTGGTAAGTTTATTATTTACATGAGTTGAAGTAGGGAGAAAATCATGTGTGGAAGATTGAGGCCGAGAAGCACTGTCACCCTGCTGAAATGATGATAAGTAACATATGTAAGTACAACAAATTTTCAATAGGGAGTCAAGTGATTCCTGAAGATTGACACCTTTTACAAATTTTAGCAGCTTGTAAACAATGCATTGAATAGCATGTGCAAAATACTATTTTTGTAATAGTCAGAAATTGAGATACCTTTATTACTTACATGTTATATAGTGAGGAAGTTATTGCTGCAGATGCATGAAAGAGGATTGCATTAATAATCGAAAGTCAGAAATTGAGGTATGTTTATTACTTACATGTGTTATAGTGCGGGGGGAGGCATCAGCTGTGGAGGTCTGAAATGAAATTAAGTAACACAATTACAAGTACATTCACATATTATATAGTGAGGAAGTTAGTGCTGCAGATTCATGAAAGAGGATTGCATTAATAATCAAAAGTCAGAAATTGAGGTATTTTTATTACTTACATGTGTTATAGTGCGGGGGGATGCATCAGCTGTGGAAGGCTGAAATGAAATAAAGTAACACAATTACAAGTACATTCACATATTTTATAGTGAGCAAATTAGTGCTGCAGATGCTTGCCCCCCCCCCCCACACACACACAACAGTACATTACTGTGGGCATGCACCAGTGTATCCAATGTGAGATTACTAAAAGTTCACTTTTGTATCGCCGTCCTCTTACCATGCTTACAACAATTCATCGTTTCAAAGTTTGTTTTACAAAGATCGATTGAAATAAATAAATAAATACATATACTAACGTTTGCACATTTACTGTCCTCTATGTACACAACCACAGCTCTGTTTGATTTTATGATGATGCTCTCACAGCATGGGGCATAAGCAATATATACAACCTGCACTGACGTGTGGGTGAGATCCATTACTGCTCGTGCATCAAAGTAATCAAAATTCAAAGACCTTACGTTATCGGGTAGCCATCCTGAGTAAAACCCAGGACCATTCCATCTACATATATTGTCATTACATACACTAAAATACTGCAACTTTGCAGCAGCGCAGGCTAATAGTAACATCGTTAAAATACAGTAAGACAGCATGGTGCGCATCTTCTCCATCGCCGAATTGACTTGGTCTAATGTTATTGAATCTTGCACCCGAGCGATATATATGTAAGAGTTCATTAAATCATGTATATAGCACAATAATATTTCTTAGTTGATAATATAAAGAATGTTTAATATTTAAAAAAATAAATAAATAAATAAATAAAAATAAAAATAAAAATACGATCTTTTCCCACCATTTCAAACTTAGTCTTCAATCGTAACTAATCGCCCATTTCCGTAATCGGTTACGGAAAACGACGAGTGTGATCCGAAGTCAAATGTTATTGAATTTTGAACCCGAGCGATATATATAAGAAAAATATTTCAGAATGAAAAATATTTCTTTGGATGACAGAGAATGTTTTACATTTATTTTTATTTTTATATTTCATAAAAAATATTAAAAAAATATTGAGCTGTAGTATATATATTAAATAAATGGGATACTGGGATATTCAAAACGATTAAGGACATTGACTTTGCACTAATTATCAGGAGTAGTAAATATATCTATAAATTAGCAATTTTGATTGAAAGATTTCAAAAAACAAAAGTTGTTGTTCAAAGAAGTCTACCTCTCATTCAAATCAGAGGGGAATTACTATGATTTATTCATGTATATTACTTATTGTTCTGAAAATATGTAGAAAATCAAAACAATATTTAAATAAAATATAAATGTTATTTATCTCATATACTTCATAAAACAAAAGACGATCTCTTCTTAGTGATTGATTACTTTTGACTAATTTTGGATGGATGTGGAGGTAATCAGTTTGAAAACAATAGATTGTTTCTTTTAAGAAATGCTATATACATAAAAACACTTCAGAAATATGAGTTATATCAAATCAGGGAGAAATTACTATGATTTATTTATGTATATATTAATTATTATTGTAAAAATAAGAGGGAACCAAAACAATATTTAAATAAAAAAGTTGTTTTTTATCTCATATACTTCACAAAACAAAAGACGATCTCTTCCTAGTGATTGATTACTTTTGATTAATTGATGGGTGTGGGGGTAATCAAGAGTCCAGAGTTTAAAAACAATAGATGGTTTCTTTTGAGAAATACTATATATATAAACACGCATCAGAAGTACGAATTATAGTTCCTCCAGAAAAACTTGAAAGATAGAAGTTTCATTAAAACGACTGATATGGCAGCCGCAGAAGTTCGTTTTGATGTTGAGTTAGGCGGTGATGGAGAAATCCCGCAGTACGTTATCCGGGGCGGTGAAAGCTACAGGAGGGGGCATTATGCAATCCAACTATCTTTTTTCGGAGAAGAGTATACGTACATTTACAAGGTATGTTTCTTTGTCTTTTTGTATGTGTCTGTGTTACTCGACTTGATTGTATACTTAGTACATTTAGTATTAACAGCAGCGGTCCCATAATCTTTATATAGGATTTACCACTAAATTTGATTTTCAAGAGGGGTTGGGGGCTATTAATAATTACTGTTCAAAGGTTCCATTCTCAGTATCTGCCTCCACACTCATCGATCTTAAATATTTGCAATTTTTAAAGCAACATCAATATCATATAATATCTTTTAATTACACTATGATTTTATTTTAACAGATAACAACAGGGGAAAGCAAGTTTCTTTCCCCGAGGATGTTTTCCTTGCAATGATGAGGATTGGCGAAGATTTGAAGGCCGCGATGGATCTTACAAGAAATTTGTCAGGACCTCCTAGTCCACCTATGGTGAGCATTCTCATTAGACACGTTGTATTGGGTGGGTAGGGGTTGTAAAAGTATATTCATTAAAGTACAAAGTCGTCACAGTTAGTATATTACATCTTCTGTATAAAAGGAAATAAAACTTGAATATTTTTTTTTTTTGTCACATAACTATACCATGCAGAAAATTCACTTTACAGGTTCGTTTGCCACCCCGCCTGAAGAGGGCTAAGCGGCGGCGAGGAAGGTGATACTTAAGGATGATGACACAGATGAAAATGAAATT